CAGATAGGTGGTGTTGTTGACACATCATCCCCATCGCGCTTGGTGTTCTCTTAACCGTGGGACTCAAATTTATAGTTTTTATCTCTGAATTGAAGGTGAATATACTTTTTAGTTGTTGTGTTTCCTTGTTCAATAACTTCCTTTGTTTATTTGTTCATGCTGATAGTGCTGCTTTCACTAAAACACGTATTGGATAATGGCTTACGGAATTGGTGTAGTTTATGGTAAAAAAGTAAAGGTGTGATACTAAGACAGAGCCGCTCTTTCATATTTCCGTCATCTGGATATTTCCCTCCTTTGGTTTTTGAGAATGGATCACAAGGCAAGCAGTTTCCTACTGCGATTTCGATTATGGCAGCCTTCACCTGCAAGGTGAACGGTCATGAAATCAATAGATTAATTACGATAGGCCTAATCATAATGTCAACTTTACTAACACCAGTATTCAATAACATAAGGAAAAGAAGAACATTTTTCCGAAATTTCGGAAATCAGGTGTGGCCATCTCTTGATTCTGCAGTTGTGAGGCCATCTGGGTGTAATGAAATTCACAAAAATATATATAAGACCCTAAATGTACCCATGTCCACAAAGAGTTAAAAGTGTTTGAATTGGACAATTTTCATGTTTGATCAAGCATTTACTGATTGTCAATTTAAAGCGTTTTAAGCAGGGAAAGTTCTTGCCTGAAATCTCAAGCGTTTTTCTTGCTAACTCAAGCATTTCGCTTGCTTTCTCAAGCGACCTCCGTAGATGGCTTGACTTGCGCTTGCTAAGTCAAGCGGTGTACCGTCACCAAGGCAACGGCGTCGGTCGCGTACCGTACTGGTCACGATCCTTCGAATGCGGGCGTTGGCCAGGAACTCCGCTTAATATCTTATCAGATAAATAATTTTTTCACGGTATCTGATTCTGTAATTTTCTTAAAATCATATTCAAAGAAATTGAAATTAACTGAAAACGAAAGGAGATAATGGAGATTATGGGAATAAAAAGTTTTACTTATGAATAATAAATTATTATAAGACGAACAATTTTACTCATATTGTTAAACTTCTCGTCTTTCTAAATCGAGAATATATCAGCTATTTTATGAAATAAAGAATATTTCAAGTGAAAAAGTCTGAGAAATTCTAGCAACATTCTTCTGTTGATATTATATTCGATGATTTGTTATATTTCACCTCATAAAATCGGATATATGGGAATGGGTAGGCCTACATTTTAATTCAGGTATATTCATTTGTTTTGATAACGCGTCAGAATGAAAGAGCTGTCAATCGGAAGAGTGTGTCATTGTTTTAGAGGCACTTTATATGAATATAGGAGAAAATATAGCGCTTTGTTAAGATGTTTGGGTAGATTTATTTACTTCTCTGCCATCTTGATGCGGCGCTAGCTTGTCAGTTGTTTTGAATTGCGCGCTCAAAGTGTTACCAACCGCAGGTGAAATAAACTCCACCCTCGACTTGTGCATAAGTTATCTCTTTCCGAGATTGTTGGTGGGAATATTGCTTTTAAAACCCAAATATGTATATTTCGTGTGTTATTTTGATATTTCTATGCTCATCAAGGACTGTTATGATTTATACTTTATAAAAAGACATTTCCACATGTCTGGCATCACTGAAGAGGGCCTGCATGCCTTGGAAAGCGTTTTAAGCAGGGAACGGTACAGCGCTTGGCAAGAATTCTTGCCAAGCGCTCCCCTGCTTTAAACGCCTTTAGATACACTAATTCATGATTTGGCATAAGTTATATATAGCAATGCACGTAGATAGAGGGAAATGGATAGTGTCATCTTATAGAGCAGAAGAAATAGATTAGGATGGAACATAGTTGAAGCAGCAGCAGCCTCATAGTCACTGCTAAATGACAAAAAGCATGCCCAGATATTTCAAAGATTTTAACATTTCTATATCTTTTTTTTATCATAATAAAGGAGCATCATATAGTATCAATACTAATACTTGAAAAATAAAAGCGATATTAGTAACAGAAGTTGTGTAGTGTCTTGTAAAAGTAAATGAAAAGGGATGGTCCACCTTGCAATGCTTAGGAACATCCATCCTTCACAACTTCACTATACATTGAAAAGGTTTTCCCTCAATACCACACTCGTTGTTGTTGTAGGTGTGCTTAGGAGACGGAGACTTGAGGCCCTACCTTGGGCCTTAGCCTTTGCCTCAACAAATTTTACTTGGTCTTTTCTTCTCTCCTTTCCTCTTTTGTATCTTCTTCATCCCCTTCTTCTATCCCATTCCTAAAGTGTGATAGCTGTGCTTAAAGGATGAAAGGCTGGCTTTGTTTCAGTCATGAACTGCCTCCGGGAGTCATGGGCAAGGTATTCCCTTGGTTAATTGCCTAGCCCATACCCCTTATGGGGCCCTGAGGGATAGACTGTTTCTTTTCCCCATTTTATTCAGGCTCACCAAGGCCAATAATGAAGATTCCCTAACCTTAATAGGGGTATTAAGGCTTGCCCCTTTACTAACTAGCCTATCTAGATTTGATTTTGATGGTTTTCCGACCCCTGCCCCTCCTTTGACCATGGCTCTGACCACTAATACTAATACCCCTGCCCTAATACTCCGGTTGACCGACTATAACAACTCCAGGTAATTAATCAGCCTCCAGAAAGCACTTCTTCCTCTCTCCCAACATTTTCCTCTCCATCTCCTACTGCACAGTCCTTTTCAATGCCTACCCCCTCTTCACTTATTATTATTATTCATCCCTATTTTCCTCCCCCCCCACAAAACTACTCCACTTCCCACAACACCATCTTCCTCTCACCCTTGTCCATCTACTGCCTCTACCTCTACAAACCTTCTGAGGACTCTCTTTGGCCCAACCAAGTGGGATCGATTCTTTTGATTCCCCCGATAGCCCCCTATTCTGAGAATATCCTTCTGTTTCTACAGTGCCTCCAGAAACAAGTATGCAAACTTTCGCAGTCACTCTGATCGTTTACACTTTGTCACAGATACATCTGAATCCCAGGGTCGTGCACTATCTACCCTAAGTGACCACTCTGGCAAACCCATTCCTGCCGAACCTCACTCCTTTCTTAATACTTGCACATGAACAGTTTCTATCACCCTAAATGCTTGTCCTATCGGCAGCAAGGACTGAACAGACTGTGAAAATTACCTACTTACCTGCCTTGCTGAATATGATGCAGTGGCAGTACAGCATTACACTATTCCTCCCAGAGGCCAATATTGCCGAGATTAGCTTCTGTAGATATGACCTCCCCCATCCGGTTTATATTGGTAGATTGTCCTACCATGTCCAACCATATCGATCCCTTCCTTGTCAATGTCAGAAACATTGATGTTTTGGCCAACTAGCCAAACAATGTTGTTTCACAGCCCGCTGCCCTCTATGTGCCCAACCTGGTCATGACTGTTCAAATTGCCCTGCTCAGTCATGTACATGTCCCAATTGTGGTGACTCCCATAATGAATTTTATGGGAGCTGCCCTGCCTATGAGCTCGAATGTGAGATAACAGTCCTCATATTCAAACTCACTCTACATGAGGCCAGACAAGAAGCACAATGACAAGGTTTTTCTCTCTCAACTTATTCCAAAACAGTCCTTCGCTCTGCTCCCCGACCATCTTTACAAGATTTTTCTGCATCTCCCCCAGTATCTCTCCCCTATACCCTAAACTATCCTATGTCTACTCACCAGATCCCCCAGTCAGATTCATTATCCAGTCTAAAGCCAGATACTCTAATTTCTGCCACTTCCCCGATGCCTACCTCTCCTCCTCCTGTCATACCAGGCAACCTAAATGCTCCACTCCACCCTCTCTTACACCTTTCTTCTCCTCAGAAAAGAACCTTTGTTTTTTTCACTCAACTCCTCTCCAGAAACCTTTGAAGACATCCAAAACTTCCTAAAGATGACTCAAGGGAACATTCCACTCCCTCACCCACCCCCCAGTCCCTCTGTTTCTACTCCTTCTACATTTAAAATATTTGCAGATATCCATCCCTCCTTCCTCCTACACACATACTCTGCCCTCTCTACTGCTCCCACTTGAATATTCATACGAATCCCCTCTATCACAACAGCGTCCTGCTCCAGACATTCTTCCTGATACTTTACCACCATCCCCAGTCCCCCTTTCTTATTCCCCGAATTCTTCCCCTCCTCCTCCAACAGCCACCTCTGTTTTCCTTGAACAGTGTCCCTATTCCTGCAGTCACAGATACAATGCAATTACTCAATTGCTCTACCCCCTTAACCTCTCCCATTTTTACTAATCCCTGCTCTACTTCACTTACTTCTCTCTTTTCCCTCTTTGTTACCATACTTACTTTAACATTTTTCCTATACCTTCCTCAATGACAGATGCACTATAATTAACTCAATCACCCTACCACCTCAACCCTCCCCTTTCTTCTAATCTCTGCTCTTGTTCACTTACTCCCCTTTTTTCCTTTTTCACTACTATACTATCCTATAATGCTCTTTAATCTTTGATACCTAACACATTTTATTGTAATCTTTAACTCTTCTTTACCCTTTCTGTGACAATACTTTACCATAGTGTTATATGACCTTTCATGTCTAGCACATTTATTTGTTTCAGACATTAAACATTTAAACATTAAAATTTGAAAAGGTTTTAGAGGCTTTGATTTAACCTATAGTAAATATTGTAATTTTTATATGTATGTATTAATTTGTATCATGATAGACTAAAGGTTCATTCCATGAATAAAACATAATAATGTGATATCAGTTGCTTTTGCATGAAGGCATATTGTTAATAAACAATATTAACAGATTCCTTATTTTTAAACATTTTATGGTTAAGTCCCCAACTCCTTATCACAGTTTTTTCATAAGTTTAAGTTGTTTCGAGTGTGTGTGCCCAACTGCTGAAGGGAGGGTTGATGGTGGCCTCTGCCTCCCAACACCCCCCTGGCAAATATTCTTTTCACATTGGTAGGAACGGCTAGATACAACTGAAACTTGGGAGCATCGAGTGGACTTTGGCTGTGGGCAGACACTTTCTGTGATTTTTTTTTCTTTATTTGTGGCTTTACTACTCACATCTGCAGATTATTTATTGTATCAACAACTGCAACTTTTTGTCCTCTGTAAGATTATCATCAGTTTGCATTAGCATAGTGTATCCATGCAGTAAAGATTAACCACACAAAATAGATGTGGATTATTGTCTACATTTTTAATGAATTGTGGAGTAGAAATACAAATAAATATTAGAAGGAGCTTGTGTGAGCTTCAGATAAGTCTTGCCTATAGTTTTGTGACATAAAATATGAGCCAGAATTTGTTCGTGGTTCAATGCTGCAAGGCCAATATGAGACTTTTGTTTCTGCAGGATGTGACTAGGGGCTATCATTTCATGACGGAAGGACAGATATTTGTTCTTTAAGTAGCAAGTGAAAAAAAGATTTACAGTATATGGGTCAGTTGTAAACCTCTTTTTGTCTTTCCTTTATATATTTTTTTTATTTTTATTTTTTGAAGTTATGCAAATTTGAACCAGCCACTTAATGAGGTTTTTCATAAATGCATAGATAAGATTTCTAACTTTGCCCACACCCTTAGGAAATCCACTGAAATATGTCTATTTCATTTGGTTAATTGTTAGTAATGTTAATAAGAAGATAATCCCTACTTGGCCAGTTATTGTCTTTTTATTTATATATTTAAAAGTGGCAATAGTTTACCAGTTTTCACCAAAAATGACCAGGAAATGCTAATATCCAGGAGACTTTGAATAGTTAGCATATACTATATATTATAACTAGTCTCAGGTCTTGAGACCAAGAGAGAATTGTTAAACAGTGATAATAATAAAAATAGTCTGTAGATAAACACAGCCTTAAGAGAGCTGATACCTACAAGACTAAGTACATAATTCATAATTTATCTCCCAAGTATGATTTGTAATGACATCAGTTATTGTTACATAAGAAACAAATGACACCTAAGGCTTAGGTTTCTGGCTGAATGCCAGACTTATTCAGTGAATTAGAACAATGTAAAGCTTATCCTTGTCCCAAACCTACCTGGAAGGACGTTTAAACCCAAACAACTAACCTAACCTTAATCTTTCATCCCTTAACAAATTTCTGTACAGGAATTACTTGAGTAATTACTGAAAGATGTTTATATTCAGATGACCAGATTTGAAAAATTATATCACAAGTAGCCCTGGCTAACCTTCTTTGCTGGACTGTAAATGCAGTGATGAAAATGATAACGATGATGCTAAATATGATAGAACTCTGTAAACATACAACTTTTTACATTATGAAATGGCACTTTCTCATGGTGTATGTGACCATTTATTTCAGATGGCTCCAAGTTTAAACTTGAGCAAAGTGCCAATGACACCATTCCGTGTCATGGCTGTAGTAGCAGGGTTCGCTGCTATTTTTCTTGTAATATCAGCCATAAGAACCACTGGCCCACAGCAGAAATTGGGGGCAGTGTTTCACCATGCTTCAGATGCATTCAAGGTTAGTTATTTTTTCACATACATGGTCTTAACAGCAAAGATGTGAAGTGAAGGCAGTGCACCTTTTTGCACTTGTTTTAGGCTAAAGGCATTAAACACATCCCTCTTCTTCCTTGCTTCCTCTAAATCCAGCTCCTTCTCCCTTCTCCCTCCTCTGTTCTCTCCATTCCACTTTCCTCTTCCTTCCTCTTCCTTCCTCCTCCTCCCTCCTTCTCCCTCCTATTCATCCTCCTCCTCCTCCTCCTCCTCTTCCTCTGCTCTCTCCTCCTCTACCTCCTCCTCTGCCCCCCTCCTTCCCCCTCCTCTCTCCTCCTCCACCTCCACTCCAGCTCCACCTCCACCTCCACTTCCACCTCCACTTTCTCCTCCTCCACTCTACCTCCTCCTCCTTCTCTCCTCTTCCCTCCTCCTTCTCCCCCTCCTCCTCCTCTCCTCCTCCTCCTCCTCCTCCCTCCTCCTCCTCCTCCTCCTCCTCCTCCACCTCTACACCCTCCTCCTTCTCCTCCTCTTCCCTCCTTCTCCTCCTCTTCCCCTCTTCTCCCCCCTCCTCCTCTCCTCCTCCCCTCCTCCTCCTCCTCCTCCTCCTCCACCTCTACACCCTCCTCCTTCTCCTCCTCTTCCCTCCTTCTCCTCCTTCCCCTCCTTCTCCTCCTCTTTCCCTCCTTCTCCTCCTCTTCCCCTCCTTCTCCTCCTCTTCCCCTCCTCTCTCCTCCTCCTCCTCCTCCTCCTCCTCCTCCTCCTCCTCCTCCTCCTTCTCTTCTCCTCTTCATTTCCTCCTCCTCCACCTCCACCTCCACCTCCACTTTCTCCTCCTCCTCCTCCTCCTCCTCCTCTCCTCTCCTCCTCCCTCTCCTCCTCCTCCTTCTCCTCCTCTTCCTCTTCCTCTCCCCCTCTTCTCCCCTCTCCCCCTCCTCCCCCCTCTTCTCCCCCTCCTTCTCCCCCTCCTCCTCCTCCTCCTCCTCTCCTTCTCCTCCTACTCCTCTCTTCCTCCTCTCCTCCCTCCTCCTCCCTCCTCCTCCTCCTCCTCCTCCTCCTCCCTCCTCTCTTCTTATTCTCTTCCTCCTTCTCCCCTCCTCCTCCTCCTCCTCCTCCTCTCCTCCTCCTCCTCCTCCTCCTCCTCCTCCTCTCCTCCTCCTCCTCCTCCCCTCCCTCCTCCTCCACTTCCTCCTCCTCCACCTCTACCTCCCTCCTCCTTCCCCTCTTCTCCTTCTCCTCCTCCTTCTCTTCCTCCTCCTTCTCTTCCTCCTCCTCTTCCTTTTCCTCCTCCTGCCTGCCTCCTCTCCTCCACTCTACCTCTCCTCTTCCTCCTCTACCTTCTCTCTTCTCCACCTCTACCTCCTCCTCCTCCTCCTCCTCTCCCTCCTCCTCTCCCCCTCTTCCCCCTCCTCCCCCCTCCATTTCCCCTCATCCTTCTCCCCCTCTTCCCCTCCTCCACCTCCGCCTCCTTCACCTCTACCCCCTCCTCCTCCCTCCTCCTCTTCCCCTCCTCCTTTCCTCCTCCTACTCCTCCTACTCCTCTCTTCTTATTCTCCTCCTCCTCTTCCTCCTCCTCTTCCTCCTCCTCCTCCTCCTCTTCCTTCTCCTCCTCCTCATCCTTTTCTTCCTCTTCCTCTTCCTCTTCCTTTTCCTCCTCATCCTTCTCCTCTTCTTCCCCTTCTTCCACTCCTACTCTTTTTCCTCCTCACTAAACACATCTCTGTTCTTCCTTGCCTCGGCCAAATCAAGCTCCTTCTTCCTCCCTCCTCTTCCTTCCTTCCCTTCCTCTCCTCCTCCTCCTCCTCCTCCTCCTCCTCCTCCTCCTCCTCCTCCTCTTCCTCCTCTCCTCCTCTTCCTCCTCTTCCTTTCTTCCCTCTCCTCCTCCTCCTCCTCCTCTTCTTCTTCTTCTTCTGGTCCAACTCCTCCTTTTCCTCCTTCTCCTCCTCCTCCTCCTCCTCCTTCTCTTCTTCCTTCCTCTCCTCTCCTCTCCTCTCCTCTCCTCTCTCTCCTCTCCTCTCCTCTCCTCTCCTCTCCTCCTCCTCTCCTCTCCTCTCCCTCCTCTCTCTCCTCTCCTCTCCTCTCTCCTCTCCTCCTCCTCCTCCTCCTCCTCCCCCTCCTCCTCCTCCTCCACCTCTCCTCCTCCTCCTCCCTCCTCCTCCTTCTCCTTCTCTACCTTCTTCTCTCCTCTCTTCTTCTTCTTCTTCTTCTTCTTCTTCTTCCTCCTCTCCTCTTTTTCCTCCTCCTCCTCCTCCTCCTCCTCCCCTTTTACTCCTCTTCCTTTTCCTTTCACTCTCTCCTAGTCCATCTCCCTCTTTTGTCTTCTCTCTTTCCTCTCCATCTCCTTCCTTCTTCTCTATTTCCTCTCCATCTCACACTTCCCCCTTCTCTCAGCCATCTCCTTTCCCTGGCAATCATTTCTACCTCACCCACTCCATTTTATAATCCTCTCCATTGATGCACTGTCCACTGACTGAGTCTCCCTGCCCCAGAGATTTAAGTACTTGGCAACTATGGGCAAGCGAGCATTGTCATGATGATAACTCCATAAGTGGCTAGATCTTCACTGTCTGTTGCCTCTGTCCATTCTTTCCCCTATTCTTTGCTTGTGCAACAGACCTACTTGAACGGATAAAGGTATGCTGTATATCTAGGTACAACTAGTTGTTTTCTGTTGAAAGGAAGTGTTTAGTATATGATTAAGAAATTGTATCTATTTCCAGGAAAGCATGGGATCTGTTTCCTTAATTCATTAGATAAAAAGTAACTTTTATCATTGTTTCCAGTTGTAATTGAAGTTTATTTGGTTATTTTTTAACATTAGATTTCGATAAATATTTGTTTGCCACTTACTTGACACCGTTTTGACATAAGAGACTATCACACTCACCTAAATACATGTTATTACCTGTACTCTTAACTGCAGTATACACAGCTTGTTTGTATTTGGAATATATATGCTTATCTTTGTTATCAGTTGAATGCATATAGCTCTTCTTTATCTGCTGATAATTTATAGTTACAGTAAAGGTGTATGCTTACATTGAAGATTTCAATTTCATTTCTTAAACTCTTCATTAATTTCCTAATCGTGTCATGTAAGAATTTATATTAATTTATTAGTGTAACTAATTTGAATTGATTCTCTAGTGAACGCCACAAAATGGTGATATGAATGAAGTGAAAATACAGAATAAAGAAATAGATTCAACAATAGATTTGCATAACTCATTGACTCTGGGAGAAATTGAGGTGTGCCTTGCCTCTTCTCTGTGGAGTATCTATGGCTATATTTCGGACTCAGCTGGTGCATTACATTCACCACACTGCACTGACAAAGCCATACGATTTCTTTTTGTGTCACATGTATTCAAAACTTGATTTTGATTTTGTATATTCAGAGATATATGATATGTTTTTTAGGAGATAGATCAAACCTGTTGTAGACTAATTAATGTAGATCAGAGTATTTCATTAACCCAATGTCGATGGAAAAATGGTGCATTCCCTTTGGCAAT